AAACATTTCCTTATCTAGATAAATTACATACAGAGAATCAGGCATTTCTCTCATTACACATAATGAGAGAAAAAAAAGAGAGAGAATGAAATTTTAAACATTATTCCTGTCAGGAATCCAGGCTACCCTGTATTAAATGCAATCAGTATATAATGAAATCAGCAACACATGCACACATTCAATCCACTGTGAGATCACTTTAAGAAGCAAGGCTGAATACATGACAGAAGTTTGGGAGAATGAAAACATTTTGGCTTGGTTTGGGCTCAACTGAAATTTGAATATATTCAGTCCATGAATTTAATGCTGTTCTAATGGGTCACCCTTCACCCTTGAGATGTCTTGACTACAATCTTCAGCAAAGATACTGAGGATGATGGAACTTAGTAGTTCGCAACCTGTCGGTCCCTAGATGTTTTGGCCTACAACTCCTCAAAATCCCAGCCAGTTTACCAGCTGCTAGGATTTTTGCGAGTTGCAAGGACAAAACATCTGATGACCCACAGGTTGAGAACCACTCTAATAAAACATCTAAGGTGGGAAAACTGGATTAAACCCCATAGAAATGTGTCAGTATTCTTTCTGAATGAGCATATTTGTGAATGCACTGTCAATTGCAGAGGAAACTTAAGTCTCTTTCCCTGCCAATTACTTGCTCTTTTTTATAAACACATAAAAATAACTGTCAATCAGTAACACATTAATTTAAAATGCCAGAATTGACAATTCAAGAATCTTTCTTATATTGCCTGACTATGGATTAGATTCTGTCCTAAAACCAACCATAATTTCTCATAGAGGCTTAACATAAAGGCTTAACATAATGCAAGATACAACTCCAAAAGTTTTGAAGTATTCTGTAATCTTTTAATCCAGAAAAGCTTTAAACCAAGCAGTTTTTTTAATAAAAATAATAATGAGTAGGACTTAATTTGAGGGTATGTTTTTTTTGCAACCAGTTTTCATCGACTAATCTAAAAACTGATCTCTCACATCTCAATTTCCACATGATCAAACAAATCCAATGTTAAGTGTTTTATTTTACTTCTGTCATATAAATATGCCATGCAGAATGCTTTCCCTCAGCCAGTGTATCCTGTGATTCTCCATGTGAACTGTCCTTCTAAACAACAAGCAACCTGATCAAAATTATACAGACACAAAAGTAAATCCAATCGATTTGATCAGGCTTTACCTTCAAGCAAGGGTAATAATGCTGACTCTAGCAGAGATTTCTCTGACTTGCTCTAAAAAAAAAAAATATCAGTGTGACTTAGTCCCAAATCCTCCAGAATCTAGATCAGGCACGAACAAACTCCAGCCCTCCAGGTGTTTTGGACTTGAACTTCCACCATTCCCAATAGCCTACTGGGTGGGTTGATGTGAGTTTTCCGGGCTGTATGGCCTTGTTCCAGAAGCATCATCTCCTGATGTTTCACCCACATATATGGTAGGCATCCTCAGAGGTTGAGGGGTCTGTTGGAAATTAGGTAAGTTGGGTTTAGATATCTGTGGAATGTCCAAGGTTGGAGAACTCTTATTTGCTTGAGGTGGATGTGAATGTTACAATTGGCCACCTTGATTAGTATTTAATGGCCTTGCAGCTTCAAAGCCTGGCTGGTTTATAGTCTGTTGGAGACTAGGCGAGGTTCCTATGGGCTGTTAGGAATTGTGGAGGTTGGAGTCCAAAACACCTGGAGGGCCAAAGTTTGGCCATGCCTGATCTAGAGTAATCAAGATTAGGATGGATAAGGAAGTAGTCTATCCACTGGACTGACAAACTCTACACCTGATTTATAAGGGAACCAAAACAAATAGATGGCCCTCCACAGTTGTGCCTAAGTCTACTTACAACCTTCATCAGCTCCCTACCCCAAAAGGGTAAGACTGAAATGGGATCACATTTCGTTTTTTGTAAAAGAGCACATTTTGGTTTATGAAAATAAAAAAAAAATAACCGCAGCAGAAGCTCAGCTGCCCTGTCCCTAATGCCAGCTTGCCTGAGGCCGCCCATTTCTGGGGCCCAGGCTTCAGTAAAGAGAAGGGAACCCGAGCATCTCTCATTGGTCAAGCGGCTCTGGTGCTGATGGAGGAGCAAGGGACGCCTGATTAAGGCAAAGAAGGCGCAACCCTCCTCTCTCTTTCTCTCCAGAGCACCTTCTGCGACTCCAGGCTGAGAGAGCAGGAAAGAAAACAACCCACTGCTGTGGCTGCTGCTGCCCTGGAGTGCTTTACAGTACCAGTAAAAACGGGGATGGAGAAGGCGGCGATGGTGGCACCACACTGGAAGCAACACATTCCAACCAACAGACTAAAGAAACCCGGCTCTTGGAGGGGAAGGTGGGAGGGAGAGGGGGACAAATGAGGGGGAAAGAAAGGCATCCGCTGCCTTCTTCCCGCTGAAGAGAGAGAGAGAGAGAAAAGCCCCCTTTCTCCCTCCTTCCCTTCAGAGGCAGACGGAGGGGGAAGGGCGCGCAGATGGAGGGATGTTCCCAGGGCCCAGCATCCTTTCAACCCCAGGCGTGCGCGCGCGCACACACACACGCATATACATTGCACGCGCCGCCCGCCTGCCCTGCCCCCTCCCTCCGGAGCGCGCGCGCGGGCGCGTTCACGACGTGACCCTCATCCTCTCCAAAGAGAGAAAAAGCGCGGACTCGGCTAAAGCTCGGGAAGGAGTCCTTGTCGTGTGCTTTCCCCACTTATTTCCCCCTCAATAAAAACAACAACAACAACCTGCTTATTGAAATATGCTGTCTCCAAAACACCGAATGTATTCACGTTATCGAACTATCTGAAAGGACGGCCAGGCTACAGTTGGGTCTCTTCATGCAATAGTGCCGCCGCTCCCCCTCCTCCCGCGTATTGAGCGCGCGGACGGACACACATGGTCAAGACACACCCCCTTCGCGGAGCAGAGCGGGGCCCATTTCGCTCCCTCTAACGCACAGATAGACACAGCCATGACGCCGTCCCACAGAGACTCAAGACCCTTCCACACAGCCCTGTATCCCAGAATACCAAGGCAGAAAACCCCATATTATCTATGGACTCAGATAATCCAGTTCAAAGCAGATATTGTGGGATTTTTTTATATATAACCCAGAATATCAAGGCAAAAAAAATCCCACAATATCTGCTTCGAACTGGGTTATGAGTCCACACTGTCATAGTGGATAATGTGGGATTTTATTCAGCTGTGTGGAAGGGGCCTGAGAGAGAGAGTGGGGGGGAGGGCCCTTCCACGCAGCCATATAACACAGAATGGCAAGGCAGAAAATCCCACAATATCTGTTTTGAACTGGAATATATGGCAGTGTGGACTCGGGCCCTTCCACACAGCTCTATATCCAAGAATATCAAGGCAGAAAATCCCACAATATCTGCTTTGAACTGGGTTATCTGAGCCCACATTGCCCTATATTTCAGTTGAAAGCAGATAATGTGGGGTTTTCTTCAGCTGTGTGGAAAGGGGCCTGAGAGAGAGAAAAAAGAAACACTCGGATGTAGAATGCTCTCCCGCGCGCGCCTCAGCACACGCCCACCTGCGCGTGCACAGCTTTCTCTCTCACACACATACACACATATAGAAACATATACTCCCTCAGGGCCCAGAAACACAAAGCTCCCCCACAATAATTGTTGCCTGCTTTCCCATCAATCCAAGCCTCAGTACAGGAAGCTGAGCCTTCTGTCTTTAGTGCTGATACCTTCTCGCCAGCATCCCATGATGGCCCTTGGGTACCTCACAACTGCAGAACGGATGCTTTAGGCCCCTTCCACACAGCTGGACAAAATCCCACATTTTCTGCTTTGAACTGGAATATATCACAGTGTGAAGATAGATAACCCAGTTGTGGGATTTCCTGCCTTGATATTCTGGGTTATAGGGCTGTGTGGAAGGGCCCAAAGACTGCCATGGCTCCGTGGAGTTGTAGTTTGGCAAGGCAGTGGCCCTCTTGGGCAGTGAGGACCTAAAGCCTCCTGAAACTACAAGTCACAGGATTCCCTGGTAGTTACAAGTGGTGTCAAACTGGATTCATTCTCAGGGCCCTTCCAGACAGCCATATAACCAGAATATCAAGGCAGATAATGCACAATATCTGCTTTGAACTGAGTTATCTGAGCCCAAACTGCCATATATTTTAGTTCAAAGCAGATAATGTGGGATGTTATTCAGCTGTGTGGAGGGGGCCTCAGACAGCACAGGAAGCACACCAAGGCACCCTCAAGCCAAGCCCTCAAGCCATTTTCCTCCCAAGAATCACCTCAGAGGAAGCTGAAAGGGGCGAGAAAACAATTGGAAACTGGGAGAGAGAGAGAGACAGACAGAAAAAGGAGGGAAAGAGCTATGAAAAGAAGAGGTCAGGGCCCTTCCACACAGCCCTATATCCCAGAATATCAAGACAGAAAATCCCACAATATCTGCTTTGAATTGGGTTATCTGAATCCACACTCAGATGTGGGATATTCTGGGATATAAGGCTGTGTGCCCTTCAGAGTCTGCTGTGCCTCCAAGTCTCCCATTTCCCCCTCCTCACCCCCATTCAGCCCCTCAGCAACCCAATGGTGTTTCTTCTCTACAGACACTTAATAGCGAATTGAGTTTCTATCAGTTCCAGCTGATTTATTTTTTTATAAAAATTGTCAAGATACAGACTTTTGGCATTTTCTTTTCTTTCAAAAACAACAGGCAATGAGTTGACAGTGCACAAGTCTGTTTTTCTCCCCCTCCTTGCCATCCTTTGCTACAATATATGCAAATAGTCTGCACTTTTCAGATTTATATTGCACAAAATGAGAACCTTTTTCTTCTTCTTCTTTGACTATATGTGCCTTTCTTTTCCCTCCCATTTCGTATCTTTTTTTTCTTCCAATGACAGAAAAGTTGAGAATCCAGTTTCATACCTTCCATCTGGGCCCCCATCCACATATCACAGCGTATGAGATACATAAATTCCTACTATAGTACAGTACATATACAATCTTTGAAACTAAGATAACAGCTCTGAGGTCTATATCACCATTTTCAATAAATCTTTACCTACAAATATTGAACAAATCTGAACTAGAACTGTACAAAAGAAAAAGTGTTTTGTTTCTTTTTTCTCTTTTTTTTAAACCACAAGGCCTTTAGATGCAAGGATTCTTTTTTTTTTCTTAAATCCTTTGAAAACCAGGACATAAACGTACCCATATAACTTGCATGCTAAAAACAAAGAGGAGAAAATAAAAAAATAATAATACAAAAAAATAAAAAATAAAAAATAAAAGGGAAGAAGTGCCTGAAAAGTCTTACTGAAAAAACACAGCAAGAATGTTCCCTTTCACTGTACAAAAATACGCCTGAAAATATATTAATTTTTAAAAAAGACTGAGGTCTGTTATGTATCAAAAATGTTTCAATACCTTTGTGTACTGAGGTCTAGGCTGTCTGGTATTCAATCAAGGAGGTATAAGGGAACAAGTTACCAAAAAAAATAAAGAGTTGGCAAGTAGAAATCACATTTGTCAAACCATAAACAATTTGATCTGAAAAGTAAACTCTGATCTTGTCAGTTCACAGTTTTGTTTTTGTAAGCGTTTGCACAGTCTGCATTTTTTATTTTATTTCATTTTTCTTGTCAAGCTCCCTGCAGCTTTGTTAAGAATCGGATGCATAGAAGACATCAGTTTTCTCCCTCCAAACAGACAAAAAAAATATTAAACAGTTGCAATGGTCCCTTTTAGTTAGACAAAAAAAAACTCCTAGAAAGAACGGTCCATTAAAAAAAACCTTTTTTGCAGGAGAAAAGATGAACATAAAGAGAGAAAAATCCACAAACCCCCTTGAGTAACAGTTGTGCTGCCAAAAGACTTCTCCTTCTCCTTCTCCTTCCTGCAGACCATCTTCTTCCAGACTTCGATCACAAGACCCAAAAGCTTCACCAAACAAGCGCCTTCTTGTATCTCTTTTTGAAGCCCCCAGTCCCATTTGCCTTTTTGTTTGTTTGTTTGTTTTCCTCCTGTTGTGATCTCCAATTCGAAAAGGGAAAAAAATTACAAAATCAGAAGAGAAAAAAAGGGGGAAAGGAAAAAAAAAGAAGTAATATATATATAAAAAATATCACAACTCCGGACTCGGTTGGGAACTAACTGCGAGGCAGAGGAAAAAAATAATAATAAGAAAGCCCAATACATTTTTGATCATGACTTCACTTCAACAACTCCACCGTTATTCTTTGATAAGCATCGTTTTTCCTTGACTATTTTTTCTCTTTTTTTTCTCCACGTCCTTTCTTTTCCTCCTTTCTCTCTCTCTTTCTCTTGTCACGCCCCTCTCTTCTTCTCCATCTCCTGCTCCTTTGCCAATGCTCAGTAAGTGAAGACCAGGTCGGAAAAGTTGGCCTCCAGCCAGTCTCCGGCGATCATCTCGCTCAACTCGGGGGTGCAGTAATCGGGGAACTCGAAGTGGGAGCCCAGGCTGCCCTCGCTGAAGGAATCCAGGTCCTTATCCACCAGGGAGAGGGACAGGTTCCCCGCGGCCGAGCCCACCCCCAGCTCCGAGGCGGCCTGGGCGTGCTGGGAGAAATTCAAGCTCAGGTCGAAGAGCAGGTCGTCGGCCTCCTCGCTGGAGGAAGAAGAGGTGGAGACGGACCGGGAGGAGGCTGGGGAGAGGCTGGGCGGCTGCGGGGTGCTCTTGGGCATGCTCTTGAAGCCGTAGTAGAGCCGGCTGGCGTGGGCTCCTCCGTGCGCCGCCGCCCCCGCCGCCACCACGCCTCCCTTGTGCACCTCTTCGTACAAGCTGGCGCCTTCGGTGGACTCCGCCGAGGAGCTCAGGGTCGGGCTGGCCGGCACTTTGGCCACGTTGTAGCGCCTCAGCTGCTGCTGGCTGTGGTGGTGGTGGTGGTGGAGCGGCTCCTCGTCCTCCTCCTCCTCGTCCTCCTCCTGCTTGATCCGCAGCTGCAGGTCGTCCTCCTCCTCCTCGTCGTCGTCCTCCTCGTCCATGAAGACGCACTTGACCGCCTTGCCGCCCGCCTTGAGCGCCCCGAAGTAGTCCTCGCTCCCGTAGTCGCCTCCAGGGTGAGGAGCCAGCTTCGTCCCGGCTTTAGGAGGAGGAGAAGAGGAGGACGAGGAGGAGGAGGAGGTTTTCCCTTTGCTGCACTTCTTGGCGTTGCTCTTGGCGGCCTTGCTGCCCGCGTTGCTGCCTGCGTTGCTGCTCCCGCTGCTGCTCTTCTCCGGGCTGGGCTTGGCCGAGGAAGGGTCGATCTTGGGCTTTTTCCTCGGCCGGTACTTGTAGTCCGGGTAGTCGGCCATGTGCTTGAGGCGGAGGCGCTCGGCCTCGCGGATGAAGGGGATCTTCTCGCTGTCCTTGAGCATTTTCCAGCGCTTGCCCAGCCGCTTGGAGATCTCGGCGTTGTGCATGTCCGGCGACTGCTCCATGATCTTGCGCCGCTCGATCTTGGACCACACCATGAAGGCGTTCATGGGCCGCTTGATGTGGCCCGAGGCCGTCTTGCACCAGTCCGGGTCGCTCTCGTCCAGCGCCACGGGGCTGCAGGCCAGGAAGTCCCCTTCCTCCGTCTCCATCGCCTCCCGGGGCAGGTTGCCCTCCGCTTCGGCGCTCTCCGCTTGCTGGACCATGGCGGGGGGGGGGCGGGTGGGGGAGAGAGGGAGCGAGAGAGCGAGCGCGCCTGGCAAGGCTTCTGTCCCAGCCCTTGTTCCCCTTCCCTTTCTCTCGCTCGCTCTCTCTTGCCTCTTGCCTTTCTCTCCCAGCCAAGGCTCTCTTTCCCCTCCCCCTGCGAGAGCAGCAGCAGCAGCAGCAGCAGCCGCCGGGACCCAGAGATGTCGCTGGATCACGCTCCCCCTTCTGCAAAAGTTGCGGCTCCTCTCCCAACTAGTTATCAGGGGCTGATATGGGTGACATCACTCTCGGGGACAGCCAATGGCCGGGCTGCGGCTCCTCCCCTGGCCACGCCCCCTTCCCCCCTCCTCCTCCGTTCCACACCCCCTCCCCACATGCCTGCCGACACACCCCCTTCTCGCGCGCGCCTTTGCAAAGGACCGGGAGAGAGAGAGAGAGAGAGAGAGAGAGTGCGCGCAAGCCTTTGCAAAGGAAAGGGGGATGGGGTCGTCTTCTGAAACAGCCCCCTTCTCTCTCTCTCTCTCTCTCTCTCTCTCTCTCTTCCTCCCCCCCACCACTCGTCCTTCTGGCCTTTTATCTCGATCAAGTATTGAAGGTTCTCACTATTTTAGCCACTCAGAAATGGTTTGAAAACCAGCCCCACCACCCTGGCGCGTTCCTTCCTTTGCCTTTCCCGGTGCCACACTGGCCCCGAGCTCATTCATGCCCGTTTGCAGCCAAGCGCCTCCTCAGCCGCTCGTTTCTCTCCCCGTTTTTGAAAAAAAAAAGAAGAGAGAAGCCTCTCACGGCTGTAGGTGGCGCTTTGGGACCGCTAGCTCCTGTCATTGTAGGGGGGTTGGGGTTGCGGGGAGGAGGGACAGCGCCGTTGTCTTTGGGCAGGACGAAAAACTATTAGCATTATTGTTATTATTATAGCCATCCTCCAGGTTTGCGTATTGTTTGATTTCCTTCCTCTTTCCTCCCCCCCCCCCCTGCTTTTCCACATCCTACGCCATCCCACCGCTACTGACCCCCTTTACACAAATATCAGGAAGGCTCTGCCTTTGAGAGGTTTGCATCTGTGGCAGGGATTTGAAAGCAACGATGGAGGTGTTGTTTCCTTGGGTGCACAGGAAGAAAAGTAATAATAATAATAATTATAATTATAATAAAAATTATTATTATTACAATCCCACGTGACAGAAGGATTGAAGACAAACAGCTGGGAAAGATGACACGATATGAGGATTTATTTATTTGTTTAGTACTACTACTACATTTATATACCACCCCTCTCAGCCCAAGGGTGACTTAGAGCATTTTTGTTTTTGTTGTGTCAGGAGCGACCTGAGAAACTGCAAGTCACTTCTGGTGTGAGAGAATTGGCCGTCTGCAAGGACGTTGCCCAGGGGATGCCCGGATGATTTGATGTTTTATCATCCTTGTGGGAGGCTTCTCTCATGTCCCCGCATGAGGAGCTGAAGCTGATAGAGGGAGCTCATCCGCCTCTCCCAGATTTGAACCTGCGACTTGTTGGTCTTTAGTCCTGCCGGCACAGTTTCTGTTGGAAGATGACCATAAAATCATGCTAGAGATACAAATGTCCAGAGAGGTATTTTGTCTATGAATCTCTGTGTCCTCCAGCATAACTGTATGCTGGAAGCTGAGCATAGGATCATACTGAAAGACCTAGAGAGTCCTAGAAAGAACATCATAGCCAGATATAAGAACTATCAATCTGTAAAAGCAAAACTTGCAAATGAAGAGGGCCAACCATAGCTCGTTTGGTTTTGGATTTAATTCCCGCTCACCCCAAAGCATTATTTCTAAATTGAGATGCTTCATCATTTCTGACAAATACAAAAAAGGGATTCATAAGCTATTCATAAGAAGTCTTAGACAAGAGGTGAAGTTTCCTAAACGACTCTGAGAGGCTTGAATGGGACTGGTAGGACCAATAAAAACATCTTTAGAAGGGAGCATGCTATATTGTGCAATCCACCAGCCATAGTTCTGCTATTAACATTTCAGAATATAGTTTGTTTTTTTCCCACATTTATAATTAAAATTTAAATGGTATCTTGGTTGGAATTCAATTCAGACATTTCCACAAAGAGCTTGTGAGAGTCTCAAAGGTGCTCAAAGTGCTTTGAATGCCGACATGCTTATAGGATCAGGGCGTAATGACACTTTGGAAAATTAAGATATATGGCCTCATCTTAAGGCTTTCTGCACCAGCACATGCATACATAATTAGGACTGGATATACTAACACAACCACATCACACAGTGTGTCACTCCAATGTCACAGCAAAGTTAATGAGAATGTCATGACATTTATTTTCAGGCACCATTCTGGAAAAATGGCATTTTGACATTAGATCTTTGTAAATAGAATAAGGAAAAGAAAGAAAAAATCATATGCAGTAACCATAATGCAAATGCATAGTAATAGTTAATTAACTTTTGGAAGAGTGAAAAAAATCAAAACAAAAGCTCCATGAGTCTGCATTGAATGGATGTGAACAAAAGTTAGAAGTCAACCCAAATGGATTTCATCCAACTTACACTCAGGTGGGTATGTATAGTATTACAATATATTTTTGTCATGGCTAGTATAATGTCGTTTTGCATATTTATGTGGGAGTGGTTTATACCATTAATATCTCAAGGTAACTCATAAAGGTTTACCTATAATGAAAAATAATTATAAAAATCTATACCTATTTATCTGTTTATGGGTACTATCCTCAATTAGTACTTCTTTTTCATGTTCATCAAGTAATCCCCATATACATTCAGACAAACCGATGTGGGGTTTTTCTTTTCTATGTTGCTGAAGTTATACTGGTTTTATTGGCTATTTGCATAAACATGAAATTGGACACTGAATTACTTCCCACAGTAATATGGACAGTATTGCCTCATTTGTAAAAAATGGTATGTCCTCATATCATGCTGTATTATTGAAATATAATAAATATGGTTATGATGACAGGACTGACACTGTTTAGGGCATTGGGAGAAATGTTTATGCATGTTGGTGAGTGTCCAGTAGAAAGAACCTGATAAACGTCCAACTTTTTCTTGAGTTGCATATCTAATAGTGGGTGACTTATGCCCCAAAACAGCAAGGTTGTGTGGTATGGGCAGCATTTCCTTTTTCTAGGAAACAGTATAATGATTGAAGGAAGGTCAAAGGAAAACCAACACTAGAAAGGTGAACATGCCTTCAATGCAAATGCCCAGAAAGTGCAGGAGGAACCAAGAAATGTGAGCCAGATGTAGCCCTTTAACTTGATTAAAAAGCCCTGGGTGAAGGGAGGGAAATCTGCCCTGATTTTCAAAAGTTATGGATCATCATGGAAATTCATGAAAGATAGACTGGGATAGGAGGCATGCCATTTGCATGTTGGGAAGAGTTCCAATATCTAGAAGTTGTGTCATACAACTCCTGTCAAGACTTTTGCCCAGTCTGGATCCACCCACAGAAGGAACTAAGATTTAGATACAAAGTATATTATTTACACTTAAAGTTGTTTGATACTAATTCAGTATTGTGGCTCCATCTTCATCTTGATCCAAATGTTAACTAACTGACAGGCTTCCTTCATTTAGGGTCCATCTATACTGTAGAAATCCACTTTAACTGACAGGGCTCAGTGCTATGGAATCATAGAGCTATTGTTTAATAAGATCTTTAGCTTTCTTTGTTGGTGCCTTACCAAACAACAATTTCCAGGATTCACTAGCATTAATCCATGGCAGTTAAAATAGTGTCAAACCATGTTTATTCTACAGTGCAGATGTACCCCTAGTCTCTTTCTTAATAAATAATTCAAGAAACCTCTCCTTTGGAGTAGATCACACACAAATATTCTCACACCCCATTGTACAATGCATCATCATAGCATTTTCATACAATGCCAAATACCATGGTTCTTAGAAGTCTAAAATTTGTCATTTGGTGTGGGATGTAAAGTTATCTGAAAGCTCTTGGTGATGTACTTGTTGGAGTAGACTAGAGTTCTCTAATGGAGTATTGTAAGTACTTCAGGCTACACAGCCTAGATTTCCGATAGATAGAAACATGATGGATAAACATAGTATAAAATGTCTATTAACAGTGTAATGTAGGTCCCATCTACACGGCCATATAATGCAGTTTGAAACTGCATTATATGATCCGTGCCGACTCATATAATGGAGTGCAGTGCACTTAAACTGCATTATATGAATCTACATTGACCATATAATGTAATTTCAATGGTAATGTAAATGGTCGGTAAATACATTGGGTGTGTGTGTGTGTGTGTGATTTTTGAACTGAGAATGAGAGGTTGGAGGTTGGAATTGTATTAGGAAGTTAAGATTTGGTTTCTTAATAGTCTAATAATATAAGACATTGAAATTCCACACTGTTATATGCTGGAGAGTGATATCACTGCAATATCTTGAGATGTATTCAATAAAATTATGCATATTATTTAATATAGCTATGGGTACCTCATCCACTGTATCAATGTTATAGCAAGGTTAGAGCCAAAGAGCTGAAATAAGTATCTTATACAAGACTTTGTAGAAGTGGTTTCAGAAAGGATTCTGATTCCGGCTGTAGTCAAGCAGGAATTTGTGGCTTGCTGTAAGTGGTAGTTAGCAATGTGATCACCATGGTGAGATTGTCACAGCTTTTTCCTGCAAGATTTAAAAGGAAAGCTCCTGGGATTTCAAGGGATGATATTGTCTCTTTCTTTTTCAGAACTGACATGTATCTTTGGCTATAATCATGTTTAAAAAAGGCTCACTGCATTAGATTCTTCTATTTTTTAATAAGGTCCAAAAATAACATTTCTACCATATATTCCTCAGGGATTTTCAGATAAAACCATGCAGGATGCAGTGGTATAATTATTGGCCAATAATCAACCTAATAGTCCTCTGTGAGAGCTTTCTTTGCTCTAACTGCCAGGAAGTTATGTGTTTGTTTTCCTAATGCTTTTAGGGATTCTTAATTGTATGATTTTAAA